CGGGACAGCGACGGGACGCCGACGGGACACCGTTGGGGACACCACGGCGGGACACCGTGCACCACCGCCAGACCACCAGAGAGGGAGGGCGCGCCCACGGCTCTCGACCTGCCCTGGCCACAGTGGAAGCATTGCAAAAAAAAAAAACCAAGGATTGCAAAAAAAAACCCTTTGAACGAAGGATTGCAAAAAAAAACCCTTCGTCCAAGGGTTTTTTTTGCAATCCTTCGTCCAAGGGTTTTTTTTGCAATCCTTTGCAATCCTGGGTTTTTTTTGCAAAGCCTCTCGCCCCGCCCGTGCAGCTTCGCCCCGCCCGCCCGCGCACGGCTCGAGCCCGAAGCCGACACCGACTTCCTGGCGGGGGGCGTCGATCTCATCCCACCCACCCCCGACAAGCCTAGACCGCCGTCGCCGACCTCTCGAAACACTGCGCGCGCGCTTTGCTCATTCTCGCTCCATGCGCTCGCCGCCTGCCTCTTCAGCAAAAAAGCGGCGGCGCCCCGTCGGGGGGCGCCAGGGCTGTTCCAAACCGCCCTGTCCGCAACGATCTTCGTGGCCCCACGCACCAAGCAAGAGCGGATAGAGCTCCGGTGCCCTGGGGCGCCGATGCGATTGGCACGAAGTAACTCCACGTCGCCCCTGAACACCAGGCCCTGACTGAACGAGCCGTCGGCCAGGTCCGCGCTTCACCAGCTGTCTCCGACGATCGCGCGTCTTCCCAATCACTGTAGTTTCCCAGACCGACGGACTTTGAGGCTCCATGTGATTCCTGTCCAGACCGTGGAGTTGGCACACTCGCCCTGACAGTCGTGGAAACTGCGAACTTCTAGTTCGCCTACACATCACGATATCAAAATCAAGATGTCGTCGTTTGACCTCGAACTGTAAATCCCGAAACTGGCGATAAGAATCAAATCAAGAAGCTAAGTGACCGGGGACCCATCCCCACGCGAACTAATGTGCATGGCCTTCGTGTAAAAGCGCGGATGGTTGTAGTCAGTAGGCCTGCGGGGGTCCTGACGGTGCATGCCTTACCAGAAAGCTCGCAATATCACCTCGCTCAAGCTAGGGTTATTGAACTGAGCTGTTCGCGAATGCTAAAAAATACTGAAGAGGGAGCTGAACCACTCGCGGGGGTCGATGCAAGAATGCGCAAGTGGCCGATGGCCGTCTCTTCGCCCCTTGTGACGACCATTGACAATATGCGCACTCATTCTTCTAACTTTTTGCCACCGTACGAACGTTTGGAAATCGTGGCGAGCTCTCGGTCGCAATGTTGTGATTGTTCTGCGCTGGAGTTCCGATGCCTGCGACGTGGTCGAGGACGCGCCCTCTTCCGCCATCAACCGTGGCCACGCGAGCTGTGCAGTTGCAGTTGATTCCTGAGCAACTGCCCTAGCTGAGCTCTTGGAAAAAGTCTTTCCCAGTCGGTCGTCGGACTGTTTTTTCCGCTGCGGGGCCAAAGTTGGGGTTGACCCCCCGCTTCACCTCGCGCGCCACTCGCAAGGCGACGAGGGAACGAGCGGGGGAGGAGGAGGAAGACGAAGCCGAGGAGGATGCGATGACCAGCCAAAGCGCAGAAACGACAAAGCGGGAGGACTGGAAACGAGAGAGGAGGCGACAGAACGAAGAGACAAGAAGACAATAGGCAAAACGACAAGATAAGAAGAGCGCGGGACCGCGGCCGCACCACCGCCGCGCCACTCAAGCTGGAGCCTTCAGAAGTGTCCTCACAGCAAAAGAGGACATCACGGCACAGAGACAAACTTGAGAACACGCGGATCCTCGGGGAGCGCCTTGAATGAGACTGGAGCCTCGATGCTGATAGACCTGGCAGAAAACTCCAAGAGCACCCCCCAACACCAAATGCCATCCGCTAAATAGCGTCCGCGCTCACACCACCAAGAATGCCCTCCCACAAAAAGATGGCGACCGAGCTAATAAGAGAGCCAGCGACAGATATAATGAAGTAGCCGAAGCCATCGCCGAGCAGGCGCCAAAGCCACAAAAGCGACCACGGCGCAGACGCCAGCGACGCCGCAAGCAATAGTCACGCGGCGAGCGCTGAGCCAGCCAAGCTCCAAGGCCGCCAAGAAGGGGGCGCCGTCACCTCAGCGACGGGGCTGCCTCCCCAAGGGCCCGCTGAGCCTGACTGACCCACAGCGAATTCGACAATGAAGCGGCCCCACCGGCGGCGCCAACAGCGTCGGGGAGCTCTCTGATCTTGCCGGCCGCCTAGACGCACGCCGCCCCTCGCGCCATGAGTCGATGCTCTCGGCGCTGAACGCCGCAGTCGTGGAAGCGCGAGGCCTCGCGCGCCAGCTTGTCCACGATGGTGGCCTCGTCGAGCCCCTGCGCATCCATGGCGCGGGCCCGCTGCAGCACTGCGAGGCACTCCGAGCTGAACTGGGTCACGCTCTCCGACCGGCCGAGCGGGCCATGGCGGCCCTGCACGAAGCTGATCCGCGGCTGCTCCTCCTGGTGCTGTGGCTCCCGTTGGCTGTGGTCCTCGCACCCCTCGCTGAGCGGGCGTTCGTGGAGCTTGCCCCCCCACGTCGAGCTGAATGCTGGACTCCTAGTGCTGCTGGTCGTGCTTGTCGTGGTCACCATCCGAGTGCAGCTGGTCCCGCTTGGCGAGGTCCGTGTGCAGCTGGTCCCGCTTGTCGTGGTCGCAGACGTCCATCAAGCTGCTGCCAGAGATGACGGCGCCCCCCGACCCACCTGAGACCATCGGCGAGCCAGACCCGATCTCAAGGTCCTGCTCCGCGTCGCGCTGGCGGTGGTCCTCCATGCGGTGCAGATCCGCAGTGTCGCTGGTCAGGGAATGTGGTTTGTGGCAGTTCTGTGTTTCGTACCGCCCGTTTAGAAGAAGACAAAACGCCATAAACAAAAACTTGTGACGCTCCGCGCGAACTTCTTGGATCTGCGCAGGACCCCCCTCCCTCGCGCGCGGAGCGCGCCAGGAGCGGCGCCGGAGGCGCCGCCGCCGGGGGGCCCGGCGCGGATCCAAGAAATTCGCGCGGAACGCCCACAATTTATGTTCATGGCGCTGTTTCTCTTTCGACCGTTGTCGTCGTAACCGCGGTGTCCGAGCTCGTTACAGAGGGCGCACTGGTGAGTAGACCCTGCCGTGCGCGCCCCGCGGAGGTCGGCCACCGCGGGCTCGGTGGGAGGCCGCTGCCCCACAACCCGCGGATGGCTGCGGCTGCCACGAGCAGGCGGGCATCCCCTGCGGCTCCAGGAAGCCCTGCAACCAAGAGAGCGCGGCATCCCCTGTGATCGGTTGGATGTCCTCGCAGCCGGCCGTCGGACGCTGGCGCGGCCGGCCCCGCGGTCGCCGCGGCAGCTCCCTGGTTGCTGCCCCCGCCCTCCAATGGTACGCTGCGCCACGGCAGCCCGCCACTGCTCACGAGTGGAGCCCGCCCCGTGGAGCGCTGCATCGGCTGTGGAGTGAACAATCCGTCGCCGAAGTGAGCGCCATTGGGAGATCCAAGGCTTGGCTCGACGCAGCAAATGACGGTGTCGCATGCGGCGTGTTCACAGTCCGTGGCCACGTGTGCAAACCCGCGGAGTCGTTAAGCGAACTGGCGGCGGTCCCTTTTTCACGGCGGGGCTCTTGCTAAAGCCCCCAACCACCGTGGGCGTTGCTCTGGGCTTTCCGGTACGGTTTGAGGAGAACCCCGACCAGACGGACCCCATGCACATCCGACTCGCGGTAGCCAATGGTGGAGGGAAAGGGGGTCAGGGGCGTCGAAGTGGTGGCAGCCGCGGCGATGCTCCTCACGGGAGGGTGTATTGCAGCATCGATGACGCATCTTTGGTTTACTATGGCGCTCTTCATCCTTATCCTCCGCCTGGCCAGGACATTGGGCATGGGCTCGATTTGTCCCAGGGCTTGGTTCTGATCCGATGTTCGTTCCTCCCCCTCCTGCGTTGGCGAGGCAAACGCAAGGGGTACAAGAGGCGTTGGACTGGCGGTAGCCAAGGGCTTTCAATGGGGCGTCAGAGTGACGGCAGCCGGGAGGGGCCCCTCACGGGAGGGTGTATTGCAGCATCGTTGATGTATCGTGGGGTTGGGGATCTCTGGAATTAGTTAGGAAAGGCAAGCAGGTCTGGACGGAGCTCGCTCTGTGAGAAACTCGTGTCTCGGATTCGGTGTCTGCGACCTGCATCATGGCTGTGCGTCGGGGTGACGCTCCCCCTCCTGGTCCTCCTCCTCCTCCTTCTCCTCCTCCTTCTGATGACCACCGTCACGATGGGGCGTCGGAGAGGCAGTAGCCAAGCGGATCCACCGAGAACGGGTACCGGGGAGCGTCGGGCTGGAGGGGGATCCCCTCAAGCCCACTGTCATGGGGGGCAAACAATTAGGTCGGGCCTGTTTCCTACAGGCGGATTTTGGACGAAAACTAAAACACAATACCCCCAAAAAAACTCAAATAGTAAAAAAAAAAAAAAAAAAAAAAAAAACAGTATTAAAACATGTCCCCTGACTATTTTCTGACTATTCCTGGATATTCCCCCTGTAGAGGGACAGGCCCGACTTAAGCAAACAGGGTATCGATGCTGCTACTCCCCCGACCTCACCCGGAGAGCGTTTCGACCAGAGCTTCAGAGAAAGAGCCCAGCCGTGGCGACGAGAGCACCCCCCCAGGAGGCCCAAAGAGGAGAAAGCGAGGCCAGGGCGGCGGCATCGGTACCCTTTTCCTCCTCTGGTGAACGTTCCTTCTTCGGCGGTTCGACATTGGGCGGAAGGGGGGGGGAGGGGGGGGGGGTCTGGCTCCGAGCCTCTGCTTAATGCCACTGCCTGCAAGCGTGCGTCCATTGTGGGGGAGACTCCGCATGCGTGAAGCATGCGCCAAAAACAGCGAAAATCCACTCCATGGGGGGGGGAGGGGGGGGGTGCGAGGGCCCGCGCCGATCGGCAAAGCAATGAATAAGAAAACGACGACCTGATGTCACCCGCCACCCGCCCCCAGAGCGTTGTGCCGTGGCGGCCGCGCCTGCTGCGCCTGCATCGCCGGCGGCTGCGCCTGCTGCTGCGGCGCCGGCGCCGGCGGCTGACCCGGCACGGGGCCTCGCAGGTGCGGGCGGGAAGTGGCAGGACTGCAGACACAGCTGGAAGGGCCACGCACGGTGAGGGCATTGGATAAGGGCCCATCGGACACAGGCCTCGGACAAAAAAAAAAAAACGAACACTCATGCCACATTCATCTGCCAACGCCTCCCCCATTCCCCCTAATGTTCAAAGCTGGCGGTGGGTCTGATGAGTTCTACCTCGACCGCAGTCTCCCCCGCGCGTGCCAACTGTGAGTTTGGGGGGGAGGGGGAGAGTTCAGAAATTGTTTCCCTCCACCGTAAGAAATCCAGGGTCTGGGAGCTGGTGGCACACCAACTGAGGTTTGTCCTTCGGAGGCCTTCGGAGGGCTTCTCGTCGCCAAGACTGGAGCCGCCTCGAAATCCTGGTTTGAACGACTTCCATGACAGCTTCGGGGGCCGATTACGTTTAGGTCGGACGTGTCCTCCCACAGGCGGATTTTGGACGAAAAATAAAGAACTGTCCAAGAAATATTCAAACATTGACCAAATTAGTCAAAAGATCGGGCCCATACGAACTATTTTTGAATACTCCTCCTGTAGAGGGACAGGCCCGACTTAAGATTTCGTACGTATTCGACCATGGACACCCTGTTGCCCATCTGCCGGTGGTCTTCGGCGCTAAAGCTGGATCGAACACATAAGATGGAGTAGTTGGTGATATGTTGTTGCTGCAGACTCCCGTAGTCGGTAAGGCGCGAGCTTCAAGCTGAGCAGGCCTTAAGGCTGGCCTCACCACGCAACTGGTGAGTATGCTCCGAGACAGGAAAAACGTCGGCCCGGCGCAGGTGTATAGTCTGCGCCCCCTTAGAGGAGGTTCGAGAATCGAGGACCATCGAGAATCGAAGAGGATCGAGGACCGAGTTTGGATGATACGAGTCCCGAGGTGTTTGGAGGGTTCTGGACTTCTCTGGGCTTCCAGCGCCCTGGAGCCCTCCGGGGATCTCTTGGAGTCTCCGGAAGCCTCCTGGGGCCGAGGGTTGTTGAGCGTCCTGTTACTCCTTTGGGGGCCTTCGGGGGGGCGCCTCGTCTGAACGAACTCCACGACAGGTCTGGGGGCCGATTACGTTCGGGAGCTGCAGAACTGCCTGGATGAGAGGCCGAGGCGCCCTTCGGCAAGGCCCTGGACCCAGGTCTGGTGCCGCCCCAGTGCCAGTGCAAACGAGGCTCTTGCGAAGCCTAGCCGCCTCCAGAACGCCAGACCCCAGGATGACGGCCGCCAACGGTCCTGGCTCAGCGACTGCATTTCTAGAGGTCTCCTAAATGGGGTCGTAGCAGATGTGGTCGGAGGATCGCGCCGCGTCGCCGATGCATTGGCGCTGCACCTCCGGTGCACCGGCGATGCATCGGCGATGCACCAGCAACGTCGGTGATGCGCCGACGACGTCGGCATGAGAAACTCGGGCTCCACATCCAGCCGCATCGCCGACGCATCGGCGATGCGGCGCCACCCTCCGACCCCACCTCCTCCTCCTCCTCCTCCTCCTCCTCCTCCTCCTCCTCCTCCTCCTCCTCCTCCCTCCTCCTCCTCCTCCTCCTCCTCCTCCTCCTCCTCCTCCTCCCCCGCCCTCCCCGCGTCCTGCCTCCGATCCTCTCCGCCACCCGCCGCCCTCCCCCCCCTGGGGCCCCCCGGCGCGGCGGTCCCCCCCCCTTGGGCCCCCCGGCGCGGCGGTCCCCCAGGGGCCCCCCGGCGCGGCGACCCCATCTGCTCCGACGCCGTCCGGGAGGCCTAGAACTCTGCCCGCCACCCGGCGGATGGCGGCTTTCGCCTCTCTGGCGGATCCCAGCGCCGCTCCCCGCCTCGGAAGGCTTTTGGACGCACCTCAGGTCGGGCACGCCCCCCATACGGGCGGAGTTTGAAGGGAAGCTCAAAAAAGGCACAAAAAAAGATACGTACCCAGAAATCAAAATCAAAAAAAAAGTCGGCAAATCGTCCCCGGACGATCTTCTGGCTCTCTGGGAATACTCCTCCTGTCAAAAGGGCGTGCCCGACCTGAGACTGCCCGCGCAGGCTCTTGGCACCCCGGTCTCCGGCGCCTGCGGCCGCCTGCGCACTCCTCGCGGCAGAGACTGCCTGCGCCCGAGGCCTCCTCCCGCCTTCCTCCTCTGCGGCCCGCCGTCCTCCTCCCGTGAGCGAGCGACGACATATGTACATGTACGCCCTCCGCGATCTTGAGTGCACGAACGTCCTCGTTCAAATGCCCTCCAGGGGAAGCTATCCGCGTACGTGTACATATGTTGCTGGCCTCTGATCCCGGAGTCACACGTGGACGCCCCGGCGCGGCCCGCCGGCCACCCGCACGCGCTGGCGCTCGCCCTCGCCGCGGACCAGCAGAACAGTCGCGGCGCTGGCTCCGGCGACACGGCGCGCCGTGCGAGCGGATGGCGTGCCGCTCCGCTCCGCGCAGTGCGGGGGGGCCCCCGCCCCCCCACTCCTGGGGAGAGGCTCAGGAGGGGTCTGGGGACCCCCCCCCTAACTCACTCTGCTCGGCGGTGGGCCAAGGCTCCCTGTAGCAAACCGCCCTGTGGCGAAAACGGCCCAGGACCCAAACCGACGGACCTGGACCCGCAAAAACGACGGCCGCGACGCCCTCCCGCGAACCGAAAACGGCCAATTCGCTAATCGACGTGTCAGGGTAGGAGCTCTGTCAACCTCCGATTTGAAAGCTCTCCCGACGGGAGGATTCAGGAGGGGGGGTCCGGGGCAACATCCCCCCTGCACGCAACAAAACGGCAGGGGGGCTCCGAGGGGGCACCGGGGGCTGACCCTGCGTGGGTCTCGCCCCCAGACAATCTTTTTGTGTTTCGCGTCAGAAGGCCGCCGCACGGTCAGCGCCCCCGCGCCCCTCAGGGGCCACGCGGCGCCCGCAGAAGCTCGGGAGAGACTGTTCCTCTCCCTCGGCCAAAGCGCGTCTGCAGCTGCACCACAGTCGGACCTGGTCCTCCCTTCTCGCCCCCAGACCGTTGCTCCATCCGTCGCCCCGGGGAGGTCCCGACCCCTTCTCACGGGGGGGGGTAGTTTTCCGTCCCCGGTGCCGTCTTGGATGGCCCACAGAGACCCGAGGGGGAGGGCGCCGGAGGCCGAGATCGAGGGAGAACGCGCCAGGATCGAGGAAGAAACATCTCCTCGGAGATGCGAGGGCATGCCTTGCCTGGGTATGAGGTCGGGGATGTCCTCCTACGTACAGGGGGCTTGTGGACGAAAAATCGAAAATAGGAGAAAAAGCGCTCAAACTTGTCAGAAAATACTGAAAAAGCAAGATCGTCCCCTGACTATGTCTTACCATGTTTTAGCACTCCTCCTGTAGAGGGGCGTGCCCGACGTAAACCTGGTATTGGTTGGGTCAGCTGCGACCAAAAAAAAAAAACATACCCTATACCCTCCCTGGCCTTCCCTGGCCCTGGCCCTCCCTTCCTGGCCCTCCCTCCCTGGCCCTCCCTCCCTCCCTGACCCTCCCTCCCTCCCTGGCCCTCCCTCCGTCCTCGAGTCGGGAGGCGCGCCTGGCGTCCGCGGCACGATGGGCGTCGAGGCAAAAGGGCCCTTGGGCGCGGCGGGCGCCGAGGCCTCCGCGGGCGGCTCTCGGAGGGGGGAAGCCTCCTCCTCCTCCTCCTCCTCCTCCTCCTCCTCCTCCTCCTCCTCCACCTCGTTCTCCTCCTCCTCCTCCCCCCCCCTCCTCCTCCTGCTCCTCCTCCTCCTGCTCCCTCCTCCTCCTCCTCCTCCTCCTCCTCCTCCCTCCTTCCTCCTCATCATCATCATCATCATCATCATCATCATCATCATCATCATCATCATCATCATCATCATCATCATCATCATCATCATCATCATCCATCATCATCATCATCATCATCCCCCTCCTCCTCCTCCTCCTCCTCCTTCACCTCCCTCCCTCCCTCCCACCTCCCTCCTCCCTCGTTTCTTCCTTCTCCTCCTCCCTCCTCTTCATCCCCCTCCTTCCACAGCCCTGGCATCCGCTGATCATTGCAGCGGGCGTCCACTAGGAGGGGCTGGCGGCAGGGGGCGAAGCCCTTCAGAGAATACGAAGACTAATTCTATGCCTGCGGACTGCTTGACCCATCACGATCGCAAGCTCGGGGGACTAAATCGACAGCGACTCAGAGAGAGCACGTGCTCCGACCAAGATTTCGTGGCGAGCCCGATCGAAGCGACGCGAGCCTCCCGGGATGAAACAAAACGTGAATGTTGAATTCCTCCTGCTCCTCCTCCTCCTCCTCCTCCTCCTCCTCCTTCTCCTTCTGTTCCTCCTCCTCCTCCTTCTCCTCCTCCTCCTCCTTCTGAGGCCTCGGGAGGCCCCAAAAGGGCACTAAAACGTGCAAAGAAACGCGATCATCGATCATTCGACGCAGACGACGACGACCACCCCCTCCGTCTGGCGGCGAGCCTGCGGGGCGACGGCCGACGCTTGCTTTTCCTCCCCTTGCCATCAGGCGCGGGAGAGGCGCATTGTGGCCAGCAGCTGCTCCCCCTTCCCAGCCCCCCACTGCTCCTGCCACGCGGACAGAGGCAGAGGCGTCGAAGAGGTAGGGGAGGGGGGGAGGAGGAGGAGGAGGAGGAGGAGGAGGAGGAGGAGGAGGAGGAGGAGGAGGAGGAGGCGGCGGAGGAGGAGGAGGAAGAAGAAGAGGAGGAGGAGGAGGAGGACGACGACGACGAGGGGCAGGAGGACAGCGACGAGGAAGAGGGGGAGGAGAATGACGAAGTGGCCGAAGCAGATTCGCGTGAGCACGTACAGCGCTGCTGGGCGGACCTGCTCGAAATCGGATGCCAGCTGAACTGCACGCGGGCGTACTACCCTCAGCCGGCGGCTTGACCTCTTGAAGGTAGGTGCGCGCAAGCTCGACGGGGATGCTCAGAAGAACCACGTGGGCGCTGGGCGAAACATCTGTCGAGATCCACCATATTAGGGGGTGATGTGGTCGGAGTTGCTGGGGGGGACGAGCCGAGTTCGACCAGATCTGGACCCCCGAGGGGAGCCCAAACCCTTGAGTTCCACGCGCTCGCCTCTGCAAGCAAACCTGGCATCGAGGAAAAGTACTTCCGCGCGTACGTCGTTGATCCAACACGAGCTTCACTCCGTCGCGACGTGAACCATGCTGGAACGGATGGCCGCCCCCCAGGAGTGGCTCCCCACGTCGGAGCTGCGCAAGCTCTGGCTCTAGATGTGTTGGTCGGAAGGGGGGGCTCTGGCTCTAGATGTCCTGGGGAATGAGGCTTTCACTCCCTGGCCTCATCGGGGCAGCTTCTCGATGGGACAGCCGCGCCGCACTCTGCACTGGAACAGGCGACGCCATTATCCTTCGCTTCCTTGCTCCCTGCTGGTCCCACTCTGACCAGACCTCCAGCGCTGCGTCCCCCACGAGATGAGCTCATCTGGATTCCCGCCGCCGCAACGAGGCGGGGCACAGGCAAGACGAGGAGGAGAAGGAGGAGCAGGAAGAGGAGGAGGACGACGACGAGGAGGATAGAGATAGTGGCGCGGGGTTCGCTTCCCCATTTTCCCCCTCCTTCTCGGCGAGGGATTTCTCGTACTTCTCCGCGATGGAGTCCAAGTCCTTCTTGCTGCCGCCGCCCGCGGCCATCTGGAACCGCACGGGCGCCGCGCCGCCGACGATCCCCTCCCCTTCGGAGCATGGATCTTGCCATCACGAACCCCCTGGCCCGCCGCGAGCTGCTCCCGCGATGGTCATACACGACCCTGCTGCGATGTGTCATTCCTCCTCCTCCTCTTCCTCCTCCTCCTCCTTCTCCTCCTCCTCCTCCTCCTCTTCCTCCTCGTGCACTCCTCACCTGCCCCGTCACTGTACCCTCGCCCCCAGCTGCGCTCCCACCTCCCCGAATCGGACCTGGAAGGCGACTGGCACCTCGGCTGTTCTCGTTTACCGCACGGCCTTTCGTATAGCTCAGATCCGTGCGGCATGTGCGCACGTCCGGCTGCTTCGCGCATCAGAATATGCTCACTGCAACGGTCCTTGCCTTCAGCGCACTTGGAGCGCTATGCGTTCGTGTTGTGACCGTGCATCCCCCATTCGTGCAACAACCCTTGCCGATTACCATGCGTATTAACTGCGAGTTACACACGAATGGTTACACATGTGGTCGCAAACTGCCCCCTTGCCTTGAGCTGGTTCTTGGGCATCTCAGCGAGCCTCGCAGCTTCCACGGCAGCCTTCTCAGCGTGAGCTGCAATTCGTGCCATGATCGCATCCTGCGGTTCTCCCTCGCGCTCTCTTTTTCTCTCTCTCTCTCTCTCTTTTCTCTCTCTCTCTCTCTCTCTCTCTCTCTTTTTTCTCTCTCTCTCTCTCTCTCTCTCTCTCTCTGTATGTTTCCGTCTCTCCATCTTTACCCCTACACTATAACAACGTACTCCTTCACATTACCACTAACTATGAGGTGCGCAACTGTCATGTTAGAATATTGCGACTCCTCCCCTACACGCTGATTCCTGACGGGCTTCCAAATTCTCCAAACAGGCTTGTCTATAAAAGCTCGAACGTATTATTTGGAACTGGTTCGCCGCCGCCGACCCCCCCCCAACGGTGCCCTTGCGCGATCCCGCAGTTCAGTGGATTCCTGGGCGATGCCAAAATATTCGCATGTGTTTCGAAGTTCTCCGATGTGACAACCCTTTGGATTACTCCAGTGTGCGTGTTGGTTGCTTCAATGTTCACTGGTTGCCCATCGCTCTGGATTCTCCTGCCGACGAGCCCTAAGTATTGCGCTTTGCTGTTGGTGAACCCTCACAGGGTTTCTTTGGGTTGTTGTATTGTGTTGCTTGATTTGGTGTTCACTGGTGTTCGAGCTTCAGCCTCAGATTAAATTGCAAATTTACCGTTTGCGTGCGTGTTTGGGGAACACTCATTGGATTTCTCTGGATGTGTTTGTTTTGCTTGGCTGTTCGACGGTTGTTGAGTCTCTGATGTTGACTGCTCCTTCCCGTCGTCATCCTCTTCGTTCTCCTGTTTCTCCTCCTTCTCCTCCTCAGGGGTATTATCGCAAGCATGGCAGTGGACCATCACAACAGGAAAACAAGAGCAAACATCAGACAAGACGACCAAAAGGCCAAGCAGGCAAGCAAGGGCAAACATCACACTCAAAGAATGCAAAGCAATTCAAAACGACACAGACTACCAAACGGCCCTCCAGCGACTACTACTACTACGACTACTACTACGACTACTACTACTACTACTACTACTACTACTACTACTACTACTACTACTACTACTACTACGACTACGACTACTACTACTACTACTACTACTACTACTACTACTACTACTACTACTACTACTACTACTACTACTACTACGACTACGACTACGACTACTCCTACTACGACTACTACTACGACTGCTACTACGACTACGACGACTACTACTACTACTACTACTACTACTACTACTACTACTACTAACTACTACTACGACTACGACTACGAACTACCACTATTACTACGACTATTACGACGACTACTACTACTACTACTACTACGACTACTACTACTACTACAACCTACTACTACTACTACTACTACTACTACTACTACTACTACTACTACGACGACTACGACTACGAATACTACTACTACTACTACTACTACTACTACTACTACTACTACTACTACTACCACTACTACTACTACTACTACTACTACTACTACTACTACTACTACTACTACTACTACTACTACTACTACTACTACTACTACTACTACTACTACTACTACTACTACTACTACTACTACTACTACTACTACTACTACTACTACTACTACTACTACTACTAGGGCTGACCTTACCCTGCTTGCCCGATTTATTTCTTGGAAAAATGGAAGTGTGGGTGGTGGGAACCCTGGGGGCGGGACCGCCGCGCACGAAAAGTACACGAAACCCATACGATCACCATACGATTACCATACGACTACCATACGACTACCATACGATTACCATGCGACTACCATACGATTACCATACGAGTACCATACGACTACCATACGTTTACCATACGACTACCATACGATTACCATACGACTACCATACGATTATCATACGATTACCATACGATTACCATACGATTACCACGCCACTACCATACGAGATTACCAAACGATTACCATACGACTACCATACGTCTACCATACGACCACCATACAACTACCATACGATTACCATACGATTGCCACACGACCACCATACGAATACCATGCGATTGCCAAACGATTACCGCATGATGTACGATACTACTACCATACGAAATTCGCTTACCGTACGGTTTCCATACGGTTACTATACGATTACCATACGGTTACCACACGATTGCCATGCGATTGCCATACGGTTACCATACGGAAACCGCACGAAGACCATACGGGAGCCATAAGAAACCATACGAGCACCATGCGATTACCATACGAAAACAATGCGACTACCATACGGGAACCATACGATTACCATACGAAAACCCGACACTTCCCAGGCGATGCCCATACGTTTAGCATACGACTACCATGCGAAAAGCATAGCATTACCATACGAACACCATACGATAACCACCTGACTACCATCGGAATACCATACGACGACCATACGATTACCATGCGACTACCATACGATTACCATACGACTACCATACGACTACCGTACGAGTACCATACGATTACCACGCGACTACCATACGACTACCATACGATTACCATACGATCACCATACAAGTACACTACGATTACCATACGCTTACCATACGTTTACCACACGATTACCATACGACGACCATACGACTGCCACACGGCTACCGTACGACTACCATGCGACGACCATACGATTACCATACGACGACCATACGATTTCCATACGGTTACCATACGATCACCATACGGCTACCATGCGATGACCATGCGTTTCCCATACGATTACCATACGACTACCATACGATTACCATACGATCACCTTACGGTTACTATGCGACTTCCATACGGGCACCATACGACCACCATAACATTACCATACGATTACCATACGACTACCATACGATTACCATACGACTACCATATGATTGCCATACGACGACCATACGATTACCATGCGACAACCATACGATTACCATACGACTACCATACGATTACCATGCGATTACCAAACGACTACCATACGATTACAATACGGTTACCATGCGAGCTTACCACCGGATTACCATACGATTACCACACGGAAACCCACCATTACCAAGCGAAAACCATACGAACCACGCGAGAACCATAATATTATCATACGAAGACCATGAGAATAACCATACGAAAACAATACGAAAACAAAAAACGATTACCATGATACTACCATACGACTACCACACGGCTACCATACGATTACAATACGAACAACAAACATGCGACTACAATACGATTACCATACGACTACTATACGATTCCCTTACGATGACCATACGACGACCATACGAAAACCACACGATTACCAGACGACTACCAGACGATTATCATACGACTACCATACGATTACCATGCGATTACGATGCGATTACCATACGACTACTATACGACTACCATACGACTACCATACGATTGCCACACGACTACCACACGATTACCATACGATTACGATACGATTACCATACGACTACCATACGACTACAACACGGCTACCGTACGATAACCATCCGATGACCATCCGAGTACCATACGATTACCATACGATGACCATACGACTACCAGACGATCCCAGAGGATTCCTGGGGTTCAAATGGGGTAAGGTCAACCCTACTACTACTACTACTACTACTACTACTACTACTACTACTACTAATACTACTACTACTACCACTACTACCACTACTACCACTACTAGCACTACTAATAATATGCTTCCTACTGCTACTACTACCACTACTACTACTACCACTACTACTACTACTACTACTACTACTACTACTATTTCTACTACTACTACTACTACTACTACTACCACCACTACAACTACTACTGCTACTACTACTACTACTACTACTACTACTACTACTACTACTACTACTACTACTACTACTACTACTACTACTACTACTACTACTACTACTACTACTACTACTACTACTACTACTACTACTACTACTACTACTACTACTACTACTACTACTACTACTACTACTACTACTACTACTACTACTACTACTACTACTACTACTACTACTACTACTACTACTACTACTACTACTACTACTACTACTACTACCACCCCTTCAATCGTCGCTATGATATTCCCACGTTGCTGCTTGTATGGGGCATGTAAGAGGCCCCTGTCACCTCTGCCTGGTGGGTTGGACAAATGCTGGCTCAGAATTATATCACCAAGCAACGAGCCTGCTCTGATTGTATTGCCGCATTCCAATACCCAACGCCGCCGAATATATCAATGTACTGGAACAAATCCCAGGACAATGAAGACGTGCGACATGGAATCCGGAACCTACATCACAGCAACTGAAGAGCTACACGAACGCATGGGTGATTGAACATACCGGACCCGTGCTGGTCAAGCCTTGCAGATAGTGGCGCTCAGTCGGAACTGTGAAAATGGTCATGGGCGACATGAGCTGTTTTAACTATGGGCGAGATCTTGGCAGTGTTGGTTGAGATGGTTTAGATAGTCTCCAAGAAATCAATCATGCAGTCGATGGTGAAGCACACGCAGACCAAGGCCACGGCACGTATATTGGTTGTGAAAACCAGCGCTGGCAAACGCAACGCGATGGCTGGATCGGTGCCACCCCCACCTCGATATCACCCGAAGAAGGCCATCTAAATCCAAGTGAAGGAAAAGACGCAAGACTTGGCGTTCGCATGTGCTGGCATGTGGACGATGGCGTGCGAAACTGTTCCACGATGAGCCTGCAAGAGGATCATTTGGCGGATTTCGGGAACCCTGTACGCAAAAACGTTTTCATCTATTGGACGCGTTTGCTTTACTTTCGCCGCCTTCCGCCGAGCTTCCGCTGGCTTCCGCTGGCGGAGGCGGCCTCGCTTTACTTCCGCCGACCTTCCACCGACCTTCCGCCGCCTTCCGCGGCGGAAGAGATAACAACGTTTCAATCCTCGAAGGCAAGGCCGTTTTTGGAACACCCCATTTGAAACGTGGGTGCAAATCAAGAACATCACATGAATTCATCTTGGTGCAAAACGCTCCAAGTCCTGCTTCGCCTTCTCAGCGTTCCGCTCCTTCTCGGTCTGCTCGATCATGGATGCTTGCCTGGCGAGGGCCCCAGAGGAGGCAGCTAGAACGCAGCAGCAGGGGATGGATTGGCCAGAGGAGACGACTTCAGTTACAAATTCAGCAAGGAAAAACTGGAGTGTCCCCTCGACACGACGGAGGGTGGAGTAAGATCCAAGGCGAGCGGGAGAAAGCAGGAACATGACACGCACGGCGACAGCGAGAGAAAGAGAGAGAGAGAGAGAGATGAAAATTAGCCTGGCGAAGGACCCAACCACATGAAATTGTGAATACCGCAAGGCAGGCGGGCAGAAGGAGGGGGAGCTCCCTATGGGGCCACGACACGTGTGAGGGATGGCAGCGACGAGCAAAATGAGGCCACGACTACATGCGACCTTTTCCCTGTCGGCCTTCTGTGGAGCTCCTAAGGGGCGTGAGAAGCGTGGCATGGGCGAGCGAAATGAGCCCACGACTGCATGCGAACTGTTTCATGTCGGCCTTCTGTGGAGCTCCTTTGGGGCACGACAACCGTGGCAGCGGCGAGCAAAATGAGCACACGACTGCAGGCGACCTTCCAGGTCGGCCTCCTGTGGAGCTCCTATGGAGCTTGAAAAGCACGGCATGGGTGTGCCAGGCAAGGTGCAGGAGGGAGGAGGGGACGGAGGACCAGGAGGGTACGGGGCGCGGCTGACTCAAAACGAAGACCCAACACCACAGCATGGTCGTGGAAGAGAAACGCACCAAGCCCAAGCAGAGACAGAGCCGGCCAGAGCGACAGCCTACCAGCGCAAAGGCCACCAAGCCCGCCCACGCCCTCTTGCGCGAGCGTCCGTGCAGGCGCACGGTCACGCGTCAGAAGGCAACTCCTTGGAGGCCTTCGTCAGAACGCCAAGGGCTATCAGCCCCGATTATGGGGCCATTCAGCCGGACTCGCCTGGATTAGGCCCAGGACGAAGCCGGATTGGGCGGCACTAAGCGGGGTCAAGCAGGAGTATGCCAGATCAGGCCCGTTTGCAACCACTGATATACCAGCGCCGATGCCGAACTTGACCTCCCAGGAGTTGCATCCGAACACGCAGGACTCGGCGGGGGGTGGCCGCCTCTCGCTCTCCTTCTCCTCCTCCTCCTTCTCGATGCGGCTCCACTCGGCCTGTGCGCGGGCGCGGGGGCGGGACGTGCGGGGAACTCCGCGCGCATCGCGGACGCGGCATCGACGGTGTGGTGACGCATCGGTCCGACGATAAGAGGGGGAAGCAAGTGGGGCGGGGGGTGAGCGAAGCAGAGTCGCATCGCTGGCTTCCCCGGCGCCCCCCGGCGCCGCGGGCGCCCATGCATCGAGAAATGCGTCCGGCGGCGGGGCCGAAACCAGCTGCGTGCGGCAGATTCAGTCTACCCCCCCGCCGTGCTCAGTCCCCCCCTCTTCGCCCGACCCAGAGGCAAGGAGCCAGCGTGCGCCGAGGACGAAGCACTCGCCGTGGATGAATAAACAGCCGCTGGCAGAACCCCCTCTTATCAGAAGCCTCGCCACTGGCTGGCGACAAGATGTGGAAAGGTTGCGATGAAAATAAGAATGGATAGATATACATGTGATGGTGATGGTGATGATGTCTCTGGTGATGATAATGATGATGGTTGCGAGGATGGTGTCAATGATGATGATGGTGATGATGATGATGGTGATGATGATGATGGTGATGGTGGCGATGATGCTGATGATGGTGGGATGATGGTGATGATGATGATGATGATGATGATGGTGGCGGTGATGACGATGACGATGAGATGATGGGATGATAACATGATTAGATGGTGTGGTCTCTTTTCCTGCAGCACTCCCAAAGGCTGCGTGTGCGTGACAAGGCGAAGTCTGACTGCCCTCGTGGACTTTGCCAACCCCCGATGCAGCCTCGCTTGCCGAGCTCGTCGAGCGCGATGTGGAGCGGTCCCGGGTTGTCCCCTGGCTTCGGGGAGCTAAGAATTGCACCAGGCTCCGCCACTCGCACTCGTTCCCTGTCGAGACCCCTGGCCGCGCCAGAACGCGCAGCAGGGCAGACAGGTCCAGACGCTGCTCATGAGCTGCCAAGATAACAAAAAAAAATCCGGGACGGATGGGACCCCCTTTGGCAAGACACCCGTGCGAGATCGACCTGGGACCAGACGCGGCGGGCGCGGGCCCGCGAAAATCACGGCCGCAGGGCCCACTCGAGAACCGACGAGGGCAACTTTCACTGCACCGACCTTGCAGGCGTGCTGCAGCGGATTTCGGCGTGGGTGTCTCTCAGCGGGACACCCCGACATGGCGGGCCAACAAGACGTGAATGTCACGGGGATGTTCTGTAGTCTCCACTCCTGCCCAGGAGAATCCGCACGCAGTTCGCTTCGAAATCCAGAACGAAATTCTCCAAGACGATCTGGGCCAATCCCATTGTTTTCTGAACGAGATTCACTCTGCGATGTTGGCGCCACAGCAACTCCCTGCTCGACCTGGCAGGGCGAAGCGCAGACCGCAGAACGCAGCTGCCGTCACCGAGGCGCGCCAGGGCGGGCAGGCGGCCACAGAGGCCCGCAGGCCCCACAGAGGCCCGCAGGCCCTCAAGAGGAGGACCGGTGAGACCACGACATGTCCTGGCCTGCCTGCTGCAGGCAGGAGCGGGTGGAGCACGGCGCCCGCCGATCGGGGCAGGGGGAGGGGGAGGAGGGGTCGAGCGCAGGGGGAGGGCCCACGTCCCGCCTTACCTGCCCTCCCACGAGCCCAGCACCACCACGGGTCGGGCGGGAGGCGGCGGCGGGCGTCCGTCGGGCGGCAAGGGGGGGGGAGGAGGAGGAGGAGGAGGAGGAGGAGGAGGAGGAGGAGGAGGAGGAGGAGGAGGAGGAGGAGGAGGAGGAGGAGAAAGCAACAACAGAAAAACAAGAGCCCATGCAGATCTTGGGAGCAAAGCGGGAACGATCCCACAGTAGTTTTCGGCGGGACCTGAAAGGAGGGGAAAGGGGCAAGGGGGCACAGAAAACCCGCCGACTCCGGCAGTGACCCGTGGCTAAAAGGACAGGCTGAACGCGAATTGCTTCTCAACGCGAAGGAAGAAGAGAGGAAGAGAAGAAAGAGGAGGAGCAGCAGCAGTAGAACAGCGCCCGCTCACGCTATTCATGTTCGCCCTCGCTGATGACTAAGAAGCAACTACAGAAAGAAGTATTGGGGTACTGACATTCCACCTGGAAAAAGACCCAAAAGACACGGCAATTGACATCGGCAGCCGAAAGTCCAGCTCCGAATACATTTGATAAATTATTGTTCATATGTTTCCCATGTTTTGCTGTCGCGCGCCGCTGCTGCCAACGATTGCCATTATTTAGCAAATGAAACATTGCATACGTCGTCCTCCCATATTGTACATTGCCAGGCCTGCTCCAGAAAGATCGTTGGCGTGACTTCTGGGGTTGTGTTTTCCACCATTGCGCATTTATCCTGTCGTTTGTGGTGCGTTTGGCCCATCTAGATTCATGTTCTCTGGCAACACAACCAGCCCATATCCCATTTGCTTGAAATAGATTCTCCACACAGCAGGTGTGCCCCAGCCTTTCTTGCACTGTCCTCGGCGACCTTGGGGGATCTACGTATCCACGATAGATAATCCACGTCTAATCTCCTAGTACCAACCTCGCGTCGTAACTTCAATCGTGTGTGGTCCTGAGCATCCTCTTCTCTGCTACTGGCAATTCCCACAACAGTTGTTGGTCCTGCTTCGCGGAAGAACAGGAGGCGTTTCTTATCTGACGCTTTTCCTTTTTAAGAACACAAGCAAAACTCGAGAATTTGGCCCATCAAGCTCGTACGAGATGAGTGCTTCAAAGACAAATAATTTCGAGCTCTCAGACATGTATCGAAACAGTGACGAACGAGTGTCGCCTCCTGGGGCCCGACGCGTGCAAAACCTGCAGCTTCGGCACCTTCTTGGTACTCGAAACTCTTTCTCGCGATCGAGGCTAAAGTCGGTTGGAGCATCATGAGGGCAGGCCCGACTTGAGGTTTCCCCCCCCCGAAAGGCATTAGGGTGACTTACAGCACGTTCTGAAATGAAGCGCTGCTCGTCCAGCATCAGACAGATCCGCTTCCCCTCGTGGGGACTATAAACGCACCCACCCATTGGCTACAGGCTAAAAAAGCGATAGGCCCGATTTGAGGTTGGTCCCTCCGCCGCGGGGGACGGGGCCCGAGCGCGCCCGAGTGTGCCCCTGCCCAGCCCCAGTGGCGTGCTCGAGAGAGCCGGCGGCCGGGCCAGAGGCGACAAAGCCCAGCGGCGGCGTGCACACAGCCGCCAGCTGGGCATCTTGGACGAAAAAAAACACATACCCCAGGAAAACCCCAAAACTACCCAAAAATTGCCAACAATATTGTCCCCGTACTATTTTTTACCATATTTTTGAATATTCCCCCTGTGGAGGGACAGGCCCGACTGAAGGATATGGGCCACATCGGGGGGCGGTAACCTCGTGGATGCCACGATAACGAGCACCCTAACAATCCTATCGTTGAAATAAAGAATGTGTTTAAACTGTTTGAACAATGTTCTAAACACCCTGTGGATGCCATGACAACGAACACCCTAACAATCCTATCGCTGAAGTAGAAAATGGTGCTGAAAATGTATGAAGTTGTGCTAAACATGTGTTTAACATGTTTGGTACATGTTTCATACATATTCAAAGCAAGTTTCAGGCATCTGGATACTATTTGGCTACATGCTTCCCCTCCAGTGATCATCGTCCACAGCAGCAACCCCAGGCGGCGGCCCAGCCAGGCGTGAAGACGTCGCCGTGGCCCGCCCTGTGCAAAATAGGTGGTGGATGCCCCTACTCCGCCGCCGGTAAACCTCTATATGACGCTAGCGCACCAACTATTTTCTCCGAGCGGGGACTCCGAGCCGGAGGTCATCCCAGGGTATACATACGGTTTGGTCGGGCCTCTCTGGCACGGGGGATCCGCCCCTTCAGCAGAGTGGCCGCCCGCTCCATTGCACGCCAACTTTCCCCTCCTTTCCTCGTCTCTTACTTCCGCATTTGCGGGCCGTAATTCGTGACATTTTCGTTGCGTGTTGCCGCCTTTGCGGGCCGCGTTCTCAGTTTTGGGTGTACCGGCCTATATCGCAGTTGCTTGTGGTAGATTGTTGGAAAACTTTTATCCCACAAAGTGGGATCACGCATGTTGACGCTTGCGCCGCCATGTGTCTCGAGATCCTTGGAGGCTTAGCGGCAACGCCGCCTCCAGGGATGGGTTGCAATGAATGTTGCACTCTAGGTCGGCAGCTTCAGGGCAACTTTCGCCGTGACGCTGCACTTTGGTCATGTGTCTCAAGATCTCTGGAGGCTTAGCGGCGACGCCGCCTCCAGGGATGGGTTGCAATGTAATTTGCACTCTAGGTTTGCAGCTTCAGGCCAACTTTCGCCGTGATGCTGCACTCTGGCTCAAGACCCAAGATGCGGAGCCCTGAGAAAAAGGACTCTTCCGTCCCTGCCGTGGTTAAGCGAAGGAGCGAGTCTCAGCGGCGATGCCGGCTCCTCCGCCGCCTGGCCACGTCAGCGGACACCCTCCTCCGGCTGCGCCTCGGCCTGCCACAAAACCCTGACATACAACATAGCCTTCCCTTCAGCCCTACCAAGACCCAGAAGCTCCTCACGTTACTGGCCTCCCGGGTCCCCTTGCAGGCCATTGTAGCTGACCATGGCGAGTAGCTCATCAGCGCCCCTGCCTCTCCCAGCTCCGCCGCAACCACAGAGCGAGACCCAGCCCATGACCACACAGGCGATACCCAGTAGACCCGGTCAGGCTGCTGACCGCCCCGCACGATCCGCAGGCGCACGCGCCAGGCGCGCGCTGGCTCGGCAGGCGCCGGCGCCGCCGCGCCCGGCACCGGAGGAGCCGGCGCGGCCTGCTGCGGGGCAGGCAGCAACGGGGGTCCTACGAATTGCCACCGGGGGTCCTACACAGGGCGGTGAAAGACCCGACCCTGGACGGGGACACCCTGCGCCCCGCTTCGCCCGCACCCAGGGGGCGCGCCGGGGCTGCGAGGGCCCGCGGGCCGGCGGCGCGGGACTCGTGGCCGCCGCTGCGGAGGCCCCACAAAAAAAAAAAATGGCATCGCGCGGTCGGTGCCGGCGCAGGCCCTCGCAGCCTCGTCC